GAATGGAAAAAAGATCTTTTGTCGAGAAGTGCGCGCCTCCCCCTCGTGTAACCATCCCGCACACGTATACACACCCTCCAACCACCCCCGGACCCACTCGTAATTCCCGGGGAAATAGGGTTCACGTTTCGACGAGAGCTCGTCCGCGCACATATCTCGTTTCTGCCGTGCGTATTACTGCGCACTCTTCTACCCTTTACCCTCTGCCCTCTCTTCGCTCCCTTTCGTCGCTTTCGCCTCTTCTTCGTCCCTCCGCCGTCATTCTGTTTCCTCGAATTTACCCTGAAACTCGGTCGATGACGATCCCTCGCGCGTTCATTTTTTCGTCCCCGAGATTCTTTGGAAATTTCTACAGTTTCGAAGGAAATTTCAAAGCTGAAATTTAACACGGATGGTTCTAAATGCTCTCGTTTCGCGGTCGGGCGAATCGAACGGGAAAAACAAAGATGTTGTTTCTTTTTTTCTCTTTCCTTAATCGTACGTCGGGCGAGTAAAAAGGTATCGCGAGAACGGTGTTCGTTACGCTGTTGGATTTCTATTAGAGTTAAATAACAGTAATGACACGGCAACGTAGGAAGCAAATAATTTTAGAGCCACCCAAGCGAGACACTTTTCTCTCTCGCAAGAGTTTCTATCCAGGTATCGGGGAAAAAATTGAATACGAAGTTGCACCGAAATCGAAGCGGAGGTCGAAGAAAAATTCCTCCTTCGTCACGCTGTATTTTCTAGCGAAATTTTACTTCGAAAGAAGCCTTGAAACTGGTCGCTCCAATTACGCTCGCCTCGCTTACGTTTGCCCTAATTATACTGCTTACATCGAAGAAATTTTAAGCGTTATCGCCGCTTCGAATTATCGGCACAATTATCTTTTCTGAAAGTAGAATATCGTGTAACCTATTTTTACCGCTAAACTTTTCACCTTTCGTCGCGCGAAATTGAACGAGTTTCTGTCACGCTGCAGGAATTCGAAAGAGCAAAAAGTCATCGGGTCCAGCAATACATCGAAATGCAACGAGAGATTTGAACGCATTGTACGCGCGTGCATCTTCCATTCTTCGGGACGAGCAAAGCCTCGCATTTCCAACGCGTTTTCCAGCATTGTGCGACTGCATGGAACGCAGCCGCGAGCACGTGCGACGAATAATGGCAAAACTAATGACACACTGAGGGATTCGGGACAGCAACGGCACGAAATAAAGCCCGGGGACCGTGGATGAGAATGGACCGTGACTTTTCTCTTACCTCCTCCTCTTGTCTGCTCGTATTCGCGGGGGACGTTGTTAAGGGTTGAAACAATACGAGACGTATTCTTTCTTTCGTTCGGTGTTTTTTCATCAGTTGCTTTTTGTTCCTCGGACAGGATCATGAAATAACGAACGCTTCGCTAAAAAATCGATATCATGGAAATTTCGAAATTTTCAAAGCATAAGGCTTGTTTCACTTTCCCTTTCCGGCCGAAAATAAAAGCATTTTTACTAGTTGAGCTCGATTGGCGTCAGCAGGAGGAAAATCGAAGCATTCGCGCGGGCTGAAATCGCGCACACGATCGAACCAGTTTCCCGTTGTCGGTGTGCTCCCGTTTCCACTGTTTGACACGAGTCGATCCGATATTCGATCGACAGACGTCGCGCGATGACGCAAGCCACCCTTTCAAAGTGCTTTTCACGCAAGTGGAATGCCTAGCAGCCTGTTTGTCGGTGGTAGCCAACTTTTCCCCTGTCCCTATTTTCCGGTGAACGCCTCTTCATTCTTCCCCTCTTTCGCCCCATTTTCCCCACACCCAAACTTCCAACTCTTCGAAAACTTTGTTCGCGATCGAACATTCCGATGGGGAGCTTACTTTTATCGCCGAAGGAAATCTTTCACTTTCCTTGATAATTAATTATACTATTTTTATTGTATACCGCCATTTTCAAGATCAATTCGTCAAACTTTTCGAAAATCTCTTCAAGCATAACCTATGATTTATACTTTGTAATTGAAATTCTAAACTTCAATTAGAGAAAGTAGAGAAATAATAACTTCAAAAGAAGTCATTTAACATTTTAATTAATATTTCAAAGTTGCTGTTTGCAAACAGTCACATTATCTTCGAGTGCAAAGGGTTAATACTCTTCAACTTAAAATGTAGAAAATCGATGACTATAAAGTATTCACATTTTAATTTGTGTTGCAGCAAGGGTTTAAACAGCGTCTGTAACGCGTTTGTAGAACCATGTGCTCTCTGCAATTGATCCATATACTTTTACTTGGTGGAAGTCTAACGACACCTTAAATCGCGAGCATGTTCGAACTATCAATCTCCGAGAGAAAACGTGAAAGACGTAAGGGCGTCGCAAAAGCGAAACGTGGCGAACAGGCTCTAACGTAATCCTTAATGGTCCCTTACGCAACGAGGCGTCGAGGAACGATCAATTTGATTTCATTCGATTTCAATTCCGCCGAGGAATTTTTTCCTCCCCCCTCGCCACGAAATTCTTCGCACCTTTGCGCTCCGCTGGCGCAAAATCGTCGCGATTATCAGTTGGTGGACCGTGACGAAACGCGTCATCGTTCTTTCGTGCGTTCGAACGTGCACCACTGAACTGGAACACACACTGCACTACGTGTTTCCTATGCGGTGTATTAAAAACGATTTATACGCGATGGAAAAACTTGTAGGTATTACAACGTTTTTGCCAGAAAATTTTTTAGCCGGGTGATTCGAAATTAGTTACGTATCGTTGGGAAAGATTAACGCGAGATGTCGCAAACGAATTTTTACTCGATCTTACGCGTATCGAAGGAGAGACAGAGAAAAAATTTCACCTATCTGTTTATAGAATGACCTTGAATAACCTTGAAAATATTACCACCAGGTCATCGTTCTTCCCCGGAGCCGAAATCCTGGGTAAAAAAGATATATGATGCGCGGGTTAAAAATGTTGGCGGTAACCTTGAAATGCCTCTGTAACGCCCACGCTCGTTGTAGAAGCCTCCATACGAAATTCGTTCGAAAGATTTTTCCTCCCTTCTTTTTTAATACCTGTTCTCGTTTTTTCGTACTATCGGATTTTACGTCATAGCCATAAGTAAAATATTCAGGTTTCCGTAGAAGAAACGCGATCGTTAGGATTTAGAATTCGATAACGACCTTTTTCCACGCCTCCGGGCATTGTTACGCGGCTAGAGCGTGGATATGATAACGGTTCGAGTCACGGAAGGTTCGAAGGAACATCCGGTCAATGACCCCTATTTTGGGCTCGCTTTAAACTCCCCTCGGAAGAATGGGTATTCGATGCAAAGCTGCGGTGCATTCGAACCGACCGGCAGCTCGAGTAACATGCAAATTTATTGAAATATCTTTCCGAACAGCCGTTCGGTTGTCCTTTAAAAAAAACCAACGAACAATTCAGTGTAGAACGTGTGCTCGATCTGGATATTTGTCCCAAATTTTGCGCAATTACGGGGACGCTGGAACGATAGCTCTGCAAGAAAAAATAGAACGCCCCAAGTATTTTAATATTCTATACGCTCTATTCTAAAATTTACATCGACCGTTTAAAAATAAAAAAGACAACTTTGTTATAGAATACCACTTTGTTATAATTCATTGTGAATTGTCAAAATAAAAACTAATATTATTTTTTAAATATAAATTATATTTCACAGTAATTAAAAATGTAGAGTGAATGAAAGTTTCATATGAAAAATCAAATGAACCTTGCCAATTAAATCTATAATTAACAAAACGAATAAATAAATAGTTACAAAAATAAATCCCGAAAGAATTACAATTACGCAAAGTTTGGAGCTAATCTGGGTTCCGAAGGTCGTGCGTTCCCCTCGTGTTATGTAGTCAGAAGTTATTGTTTCGTTGGAGGGAAAGACGAACACGCGTGTATCGTTCCGTGGTTCATGAACGAGAGGAACGAGAGAAACGGAGCGAACGAGGACGGCGCGTGACAACAGTAGGTGGCGTGCGAGAGGCGGCGGAGGCGGGGGTTAAAATCGTGGTCGAAGCCGGAGGTGGTGGTAGGGAGGTTAGATAGTAGGAGAAGGTTGTGGTAGGTCGCGGTACCAAAATGGCCGATAGCGCGTCACCATGGCAACCGGGCGGGCGGTGCTAGCGAGTCACTTGGAGGCGGGGCTTTTCCAGCATGGCGGCCATCGCTGTTCCCCACTCTGACAAGTATCGCCGCCTGCCGGTCCGCTCCGAAACTATTACGGATCTCGTTTTCCCCGCACTTTTATCTAGCGATGCGCTATCGAGTTAAACGCTTTGAATTTCGAGAGATCGCTGGAATAATTTTAATGTATCGTCTAGAAGACTGATAACTTTGTAAGAAGTTAACTTCGTCAGAAGTTATCGGACACTTCGTTGGAAGTTTTTATTAGAGCCGTGGGCTTGGACAGAATTTTATTTCAGAAAATAAGGTATATACGAATGAAGTGAACTTGATGGAAGGAAAACGTAGAAAATCGGTGAAAACGATCGAGAGCGATCGACACGTTCGCGTTTATTAGGGCGACGCACCAGGTCGACCTTCAATTAGCGATCGCTCGCGGTCGCGCTCGGCTCCCTGGCGGCGAATTTATCGCGTTAACGAAGCCCCGGAGTAAACCGACCGTGAGAATCCACCCTTCCACTGTCCTTTCGACACTGTTACTGATTTACGAATAATGGACGTTGTTAACCCCTTGGCTTATAACAACGAGTCGTGACGCACGTTACAAATGCAGCAAACCTAGATCGAATTTCGACACCAATTGCATAATTGAAGATCTGAAATATATCTAACATTTGAACGTTCTTTATTTGACGCCGCAGTAATAATTAAGTGGCTCCGAGAAAAATTTGTGGGTTAAGGGGTTAATCTTCCACTTTGTGGAGGAAAACTTGCACTACAAATAGGTAGAAACGTAGGTGACGTTCGAATGTAGGTCGCTCAATGTGGATACAAAAACAAGGTGAATTCTCGCGAATTTAAAAAGTGAAGTCATCGAACTGTTTGTTACAGATCCTCGTCGAGTACGACGACGTAGAGTGGCAAAGGAGAGAATGGTTGTCGCCGTACAGGGACGCGGTGTTCTCCTTCTTCCTGGTGGAAAAGGGTCTGTATTGGGCCGAGCGACCTGACCCCAGGCATGCCAGTCTCATCGCCATAGATCACCACAATCACGCGAATAACAATCACCATCACCATCATCACCATCATCATCATCGTATCAACGGGAAACCCCTGAGGGGTGCCACCGCAGTCGCAAACACCGTCGCCTGGCCTGCTCTCGTAAGTTAAATCATGTTTTCACCACGCGAAAGATATCGAAACTAGCTATACGCGTGTAGACTTGAATGAACGGCTTCTTATTTTTGGATCAGCCGTTGGTCCTCGTAACGTTTAATTTTAGACGACCGGCCTTTGGCGCTTTCGAAGTTTATTCAATATGTAGAAAATAGTTTTGATTTATCCGTGTAACCGTTCCGGTGTGAAAACAATCGCCCGAAATACGAAACAGAGAGTCATTGCTGTGATATGCTTGCAGACATTTTATCCGCTGGTGGCGCGTGCAGAATTGCCAGAAGACGCGATGCCTCTCGAATTCATGCAAGATAGAAGGTTGGACTTTGTCGATTATTCGAGACTGAAGCCGTTCACCGTGAGTATCATTCGAGCGAAGAAACGTAGCGCGATTTTCGAACGGGTTCAACTTCTCTTTCGTTGACTGGTCTAATCGATAAGACGCGATAGGATAGTTAGCCGATTAAGTGGCACGCGAGTTCTCTCCCCCGGACTCTCCCAAAGCCACTCGACAACTAGAAACTTACTTCGTTAGAGCACGAAGGAAACTCGGGAGCAAGTTTCGAGGCCGTTGACCTATCCGACAGCCCTCGGGGAATCGTTGCCCCGTCCGCGAGCAACCGTGCTCGAAGGACACGGTAGGGAAACTCTTCGTGTATAGGTCACCCAAAAGTCTATTCCCTCCGATGATTTATTCATTTATTATTCTCGCGAGCTCCGTTGCTCGTTACAAAACTTCCAAGATTGCATTTATAATGGCTCGATACGCTTTCTCGATCGATTTTGCCGCGAAAAAGCTGCACGGTCGTGGAGGAGGTAGCACGAAAAACGATACGATCGATCAGCGAATGGCTGTTCGTCGGCAGGAACGATTCACCGTGCTAGAAAAAGTTTTTACGTTCGAGCGGGTGGGCGAGGATGCGGGGAATTGTTTCCAAGTAATTAAACTAGCGGAACTTTTACCGTTAAAAGTTTTCCTGGTTGGCGGGGATTGTAAGTCGTTCGAGCTATACAAGTTTCGCGAACACGGTGGTCACCTTGTTACGTATTAACTCTTTCGGTGTCACTCGTTGTTCCACGAACGGCTACTATCGATTCTTTAACGAGCCGTTTACGGACGAGGAGAATAATTCGAAGGGATTACGAAGAACGCGGAAGGAGGCATATTTTCGATAAATCGATAAAACGCTCGTGTACGAATACGAGTAGAATCGGGGTCACCGGAGATGATCGGTGCACGGTCACCGCTCGTCACGCGTTCGATCATCGATTTCCTGATAACCGCAGCTGCACTTTCCCTCCGCTGCAAAGAATTGACGGGAGAAAGAGGGGAGCGAGAGAGAGCAAAAAGACGTACATATGCAAATGGAGGGAGCGAAAGAAGACGTAGAACCGCTTCGTAAAGAGGAAAAAGAAGCAACCGGTGCAACTCGGCGAGGTAACAATGGCTGAAAAAGAATATGAAAGGCTCGGTAAAAGAAGAGCCACAGGAAAGAAACGGATAAACGTATGAAAGAAGTAAAAGGAGAACGGCTGAAAGGTGTTGCGCGGAAGAGAGACATCGCGTTAGAAAAATAAAGAGAGAAAGAAAGTTGGTAGGAGTGACGGGTCGAAATTGGTCGAGGCGCAAAAGAGCGACGAGTCTGCTGACCCTGAACTATAAATGCAACGGGTTCTTTCTGCCGGCTGTTTCGGGGCGCATAGCGATCTACTCGCATGCCGAAGGAGGCGCGTAGACGCGTCGCGCCGACACACGAGTATACGCCACGAGAAAGAACACGTGGATTCGTTCGCGATTCCTACCGGAGCCTGGTCGTTTCTTCGCGCGCTTTGCTCTTGTTTCAGGCTGGCCAGCTGCCGGTTTGTCGACGACTCACCGGTGCACCAACATTCGCGAACGTTGGAGAACGGCCAACGCGAGGCGCCAACATATTCCCGTTCTGCCTAACGGTCCTTGGCAAACCTCGCGAGACACCGGTCTTTCTCGTCTTTCTTCTCGCCTTTTTCTCCGTCGAATTAGACCGATTACCGGAGAATCTGATTCGTGGACCTCGAACTCCTCAACTCGATCTAAATAATTTCGTAGAACGGTGTACATTCGTAAATGGATTCTGGATGATCGTACCACGATTTCACTGTGGCGTTTAACGCGCTGTTACGGTGAAAATGGCCGTGCGTCTACGATTGTAGCTTGATTTAAGTATATAACGTCGTTCGATTGCTGTAGAATCGAGAACCGGAATTTAGAGATATAAGATTTTATCGAAGAAGTAGGGAAAGAACGTCGAGAATATCGTGCACGAAACGTCGAGCAAATCGTCGACGATCGTCTCCGAGGCCGTTAAGTGCTGGCGACGTCTTCGGTAATAGCGTTATAATTGCCGTTATATGACTGCCATTATCGTGCATCACCGTCGTCATGCCTCGCATCGTGATTGCACAACGCGTCTGACGTAACGACGCGATCCTGACGTAAGGGAAACATTGACGCAACGTTTCCTCGCGTGTATTGTACTTCGCGTTCTCGTGGAAAATTGCCGAGAACGAAGTCAATGGAACAATGCGATCGCTACGATTTTATCGATTACCGAACCACTCCTCTACTGTTCCATGACCGCGTCGAAAGTTACTCGATTGCCTCGGTATTAAAATTAATCCGTCAATTATTTCGGCGAAGCTTTGTCGTCAAATTCGATCGATCGAAAAAGAGAACACTCGAAGAGATTCGTCGACGAAACGTACGACTGTAACGAACCGCTGCCGAACGAGAATTAATCGTCCAATTAGGATGCGAAATATCGCCCCGAGTATACGCCACGAGAAAGAACACGTGGATTCGTTCGCGATTCCTACCGGAGCCTGGTCGTTTCTTCGCGCGCTTTGCTCTTGTTTCAGGCTGGCCAGCTGCCGGTTTGTCGACGACTCACCGGTGCACCAACATTCGCGAACGTTGGAGAACGGCCAACGCGAGGCGCCAACATATTCCCGTTCTGCCTAACGGTCCTTGGCAAACCTCGCGAGACACCGGTCTTTCTCGTCTTTCTTCTCGCCTTTTTCTCCGTCGAATTAGACCGATTACCGGAGAATCTGATTCGTGGACCTCGAACTCCTCAACTCGATCTAAATAATTTCGTAGAACGGTGTACATTCGTAAATGGATTCTGGATGATCGTACCACGATTTCACTGTGGCGTTTAACGCGCTGTTACGGTGAAAATGGCCGTGCGTCTACGATTGTAGCTTGATTTAAGTATATAACGTCGTTCGATTGCTGTAGAATCGAGAACCGGAATTTAGAGATATAAGATTTTATCGAAGAAGTAGGGAAAGAACGTCGAGAATATCGTGCACGAAACGTCGAGCAAATCGTCGACGATCGTCTCCGAGGCCGTTAAGTGCTGGCGACGTCTTCGGTAATAGCGTTATAATTGCCGTTATATGACTGCCATTATCGTGCATCACCGTCGTCATGCCTCGCATCGTGATTGCACAACGCGTCTGACGTAACGACGCGATCCTGACGTAAGGGAAACATTGACGCAACGTTTCCTCGCGTGTATTGTACTTCGCGTTCTCGTGGAAAATTGCCGAGAACGAAGTCAATGGAACAATGCGATCGCTACGATTTTATCGATTACCGAACCACTCCTCTACTGTTCCATGACCGCGTCGAAAGTTACTCGATTGCCTCGGTATTAAAATTAATCCGTCAATTATTTCGGCGAAGCTTTGTCGTCAAATTCGATCGATCGAAAAAGAGAACACTCGAAGAGATTCGTCGACGAAACGTACGACTGTAACGAACCGCTGCCGAACGAGAATTAATCGTCCAATTAGGATGCGAAATATCGCCCCGAGCAATTTATCGATCAAGAACGATAGCTATCGTTATTATATTCCGTATCAAGAATAGAATTCGTGTCGCTGAAAATTCGCGATTATTTCCAAATAAATTGCTCGTGTTAATAAAACGTCGAGAGCTCTTTTAATTGTCTTTGATCGTATCTCTCGTTTGATCGATAACGAGGCATCAACCGGGTGTTCGTTTTGCAGCAGGAATGGGAGCTGACGAAGGGCTCGGTGCCTTGGGCGAGCGCGGTCAGACGATGGGCAGAGATGCAGGATGGACAGAGGATCCTGCTGACCACGCCGAGCGTCCTGGTGGGCTTCAGGGTCGAGGTTTATCGCGCCGAAGGCACCACGCAATGGTACACTGCCGTCATCGTCGGCTACAACGAGTCCACCAAGGTGAGATCTAAATTCCTTTTATTACAACGTCTTTGCGATCTCGCGACGGCTTCAGTTTCCACTTAAAAAAATTTAAATATCGTGGACGATACTTTTACGTAATGGTAATGAAATAAATATAGAACGCGCGGTAAAAATAGAAGCTGTAGAGTAGGATACTTTCACTTGCGACGAAAGGAGTCGACAGAACGATTAACGAACGAGTCGATCGGTCAAAGACGTTGACGGAGAAGGCTGCGATCGTGAGGCGTCTTAACGAGCGATCCATCGGCTGGACGACCTTTTAACCCTTAAATTGGCAGATACGCCGCGACAGAGATTGCCAGGTTCGTTGGAGGCGAACCATCTGCCCGATCTATAAATTGCTCGTGAAAAAGATTTATCGTCGTTCGGAAGTGGCTCGATGTTTCGATTGATCGCCCTCGAGTATTCGGGTCGAGGGATGCTTTTTCCGTTAACGTTTCCCTGGTGGACGTCTCGTTCTACGAGAAATTGCGGTTCTTTAACGTTAGCAAACTCTTACGAATCAATTGCTATCTGATACACGAGTTAATTAATTTCGAAGCGTGGCCTCGATATCGCGGAATCGTTGAAACCACGCGTTTGATTGCTTATTCACGCTGGCTGCGATGCAATTTCAGGACCTGACTGTCACCGACGACACAGTTCTCGAGGATCACAACGAGGACCCCAGTTTAGTACAAATGCGGCTGATTGGCGACGGAGGTGAGTCACGAATGACCTTCGCGACGAATATTGACGCAGAATCGCTCTCTCCGCGACAAATTGAATAATTCTTCTGTCCCGATATTCCTCGAAGAATAGCTCGTTTCGACAGACTTTAACTATTCCGGAGCTTAAATTTGCCTGCGGGTATTTTCGAAATATAGGAAAATTGTATTAAAAATTCTCGACGTCTCTTGATTCTGAAAACCAGTTCCAATTAAAATTTAAACTCGTGATATCGACTCGATTTACATAATTTAAATCTGGGAAAAATTAGAGAAGCGAGAAAAATTCGAATAACTTTTCACAAAAAATGAAGAAAACGTAAGAAGTTCGAATAACGGTGTCAACTCAATCCTTTTTCTCCTTTTTCGCAGTCGTGGAGAGCATCATGAGAGGCGAGGTCGTCGGCATGACACCGAGGAGGTCGAGGTCATCGACTGCTCTGACGCACGCGCTTGTTGTGGTGAGTGAAATGCAATTCTGTTCTATTATTAAATGGCTATGTAGTTTACGATAAACGATTCGAACAGTGTGTCATATTTTCCTTTTCTTCGCGTCACCCTATTTTCGATCGAAATCTATTGACCGCGATACCGCAGGAATTCGAAGTTCGATCGCGTCTAGCCGCGGTATGAGCTTTTCGACGAATTAGTTTCTGATCGATCAACGAATTAATTTCACGCTTATCGAGGTTAATACCTGTTTTCGAGTCAAACGGTGCGATAACCTCGCGAGAACGTAAAGATAACTTTCTTCTTGCGACCACCTTTTAGCTACGTCTTATCCCAAGGACAAAAACTTGCTCGTAGCCTTTGAACGTTTTATTTTTAGCCAATGATATAAGCACGGTTTAATTCTGCAGGAGAATAAAAGTTTATCGTTGAGTTTACGAGCTTCGAAAAAGTCCTTGGACGGTTTCGCACCTATAAGATAACGAACAGGGTAACTTTCGACGGACCGGACTTATCACCTTATCGTTACCCGTCAACTCGTATTCTTGTTCTTCGAGTTCTATTCGAGATCGGTTACAATTACACCGCGAAAAAGTTGAGCCAGTGACACGGGTGCAGGCGAATCGACTGCTTCCCTTTAACGCGGGAAATCAATAAAATCGTGTTTGCGGCTCTCTCGAGCTTTCAGGAATCAGGAATAGAGTCCGTTGCTACCTTTGCGGCCGACTTCCGCTCGACACGAACACGATTGCTCCACCTTCTTCGTGTCCTCTTCGCTCGATTTCCTGGCCAGACGGTAATCGAATACGCCGGACAACTGCTTCTCGCAAACGATCTTTGTCACCCGTGAATTTGTGTTTTCTCGGATACGATATTCTTTATCTTTGTATCGTAATCAGCACTTACGTCGATACGAAATCAGATATTAATTCTGGATACTTATAAACTTCGAATCGAGTAGATATCGATAGAGCTTCCACATTGTGGATGTTGAGCCCAAAGATTTAATTCAAGAGATAAAAAAATAGGGTGTGCAATCGCGTTAATTGCAGCAGCGGAATCGGCGATTGAACGAAAGCTTTGGAAATGGTAATCAGAAGTCAGTATTCGAAGTAAGTTCAGCCTCGGTCGCAAGCGTTAACCCCGGTTGCCCCGTCCCTTTGCCGTTTCGACAACTCAAAACTTTCTATCGTTAGCGAAGTAATTCTCTGAAAGTTTCGAATCCGACGTTGCCAGCGTCTGCACGAACAGTTATTCCTTCTTTGAAATTTCTTCGTGTCCCGGGAAGAAAGTTTCGCGAGGAACTTCCCGAATTCTCTCCGTCGACCTTACAATCTCGTTAACGCGAGAGAAACCCCGTCGTTCGTAAATCATTTTCTTTCCCGCAAAACCCGAGCTTCCGATTATATCGAACGTTAACTCCCGAGTGGATAAACGTCCGTAAACTTGGTCGTTTTCGCGATTTTGACGAAGATGTCCGATCGTCGGAAAGAAGCGACCGAGAAAGTCGAGCTCGTAGCATGGTGTTTAAAGTGGCTCTAATGGGCGTTTCGAAGAAGCGTCTCGAAACTGGAGAGAGCAAGTTCCATTACGAGCGAGCAGTCGCTGGCTTAATCCCTTTCGGCGAGTTTTCGAACTCCTATAAGCTAGCTCGAGAACTTGTCGACTTATGGCTGTCACGAATTCCGCCAACTTTCCACGCACTCTTCGGGCCAACTTCCGACAGCCAACTCGCCAGGATACCACCGGGATCCTGAAAATTCAAGAAACTTGGCTCGCGTTGTTCGACCGCTCGATCGTAAACCTTTAACGACCGTTTCACGCGTGTCTTCGCTTTAAAAAATCTCGATAAGATCGTTCTTCTGACTCTCATGATAATTAAAAAGGTTCGTATCTGCTACAATCTGCGAGATAAGCGGAGGAATTTATAGAATTTATCCGAAGAAGACGCCGTTTTATCGGTTCGATTAATTTCCCGAAGTATTCTATTTCTTTGGAAGAAGAAATAAAAATGTGCCACGCGATTAAGTTTTATCGCGGACACTTCTCGAAGGTTGCGTAACCGTCGCGTCGTTATCTGCGGTGGAGCCTAAAAATTGCTCGGATAAGAAATCGTTGCAGCTTAGTCATAATTAAACACTGGCTCGGAGTCGATGAAGTTTTCGCGTTCTTCCTCTATCGCGTCGGTACAATACGATCTTCCGTTGCATTTCCGCCCTCCGATCCCTCGACAACATCGAGTTCCGCGAGGGAACTGTGTACGGAAACACTCGCGTTCCCTTCGCGCGAGAATAGGGGGATAAGAAGGATCGTTCCCCTAGCGGCACATCGTGTTTCTCATTAAATTCACCGACAGCTTCTTTAAAAAGAGGCCTCGAGTCGTGCCGTCAATTAAACGCGAACCAGCGGAGGGAAACCCCGTGGAGTTTTCCTAATCGGGAATTCGTTCGGGTGAGAAAGGCAAGGTCACAGGAATATGTCGAAAATCTGACACGGAGTTTCGGTTGTCAGACGGAGACTGACGTTCGAAAGGTTAACGATCAAAACCCGGTCGAAAAACACGAAACAGCGTCGATCGATCGGAACGTAAATATCGGGCAAACGCGTCCCATCGGAGAGGATTTGGCCGGTTGCCAATATCTCTGTCGGACTCGCTCAAGTTCACCTGGAATGTCCGGCTCGTAAACTTCCTCTTGTTTCTATCTGCACGCCCCTTGCCCCGTTGTTCGCTGCCATTTTCATCGGTCCCGTCTCATCTTTATACTCTCCTGGAAATCTAGCCGCTTCCAAGGGTCGTTCAGCCAATAGGGGTGGTTGGCCGAGTGTACGGCGAGCCGGCAGCTCTCGAAGAAAAGGATCGAGCCTCGTGGCACGTGGGAGGACGAGCTGGCAGGGGTTGGTCCGCGAGAGCGAGAACGATCGAGACACGGCCGAAAGAGAAAGATCCTCGTGGATGGAACAGAATGAAACGGAAGGGGGTGACGACGG